CGGCCCCCCGCCTGTTGCCTTTCCCAGAAGCGGCTGGCTGGGGACAGGCTGCGGCAGGCCCAGGCTAGGGCACCACCCGTGCTGAGGCCAGGTGTGGCTAGAGATAAGGAGGGTGGGCATCCCGGAAAAGAGCCGCAGCAGCGTAGCTGCCGTCAGGGTGGCCGGTCGTCCCTGGGACGAGCGCTCTCCTGAGCACATCAAAGCCCAAGTGGGAAAGGACCCCCAAGCTGAGGAAAGACAAAGCTGCTCAAACGAGGCGGCCGCCCTTCGAGCAGCTCTGCTCCGTGCTCAGGCACAAGACGGCGCCGACAGGGCTCGCCTTCCATGTGCACCATGTATCTCGAAAGACTGAGCTTCCGGGCACCTGCAGTCGATGGCAGTGCCAATAACGCAAACCCCGAGAACACCCGGTTCTGTCCTGCGACGGACCAACAGAAAGACAGCCAGACAGAGCTGCTTGGAGCGCCTGCCCCATGTCACGTGGCCTGTTAGGGACTCCCACGTTCTCTGCCGCACGGACCCGCTGCTCGAGACCAGGGGCACTGCAGCAGAACGGTGGCCGAGGAGCCCCGCTGAGCCCCCAGGGCCCTCACCCTCCCACACCGCAGCCAACAGAGTCAGGTGTTCTGAGAGCTGGGGGCACTGTCATGGACCAGTGGCACCAGTTACATTGCCAGACATGACAGCACCGCGGTGGCGAGTGCACACGATGCTACTTAGGGACACCTCAGGTGTGGTCCCGCCTAGAACGCCTGTAGCGCAAGCGTGGGGACTCACCTTCTCCTCTGCAGAGACGTCGGCCATCTTCGGCAGTGGGGCCGGGTGCCGCTTCCTGATCAGCAGCAGGACGTCTGGAGGGGGACACTCGTGTCCATCAAGCTGCTACTGGTAAATCGCAGGATGGACGAGGGTCCCCAGGACAAACCGGGAGTGGTCAGACACCTGTCCCACCTTCCCTCGCTTTTGCACGTCCGTACGGCCCTAGCTGGCCTTCAGCCTCCTGGCCTGGCAGGAAAGTGGCCGGGGCCACTGCCGGGGACAAGGCCCTGGGGACCACCCACACAGAGCACTGGCAGAAGCCCTGCGCGGCGCTCTCATGGTACCAGCCTGGCTTTCCACACCATAAGCCCAGAGCATGCGGCCTTAGCTCTCAGCGCAGCCGGGGGGGAGGGGGTGGTGGGCACCTCCTACCCGGGCGCCGGGGGCCGCACTCAGTGAGCGCCAGCCAGGCTTCTGGCATGTCCCCAGATGGAGCCTTACGAGAGTTCCAGAATCAAAGCTGCGACTTCAGCGACACACAGAGAGCCGAGGTACCCCCACGCGCCTCCCGGGCACAACACAAGCCACAAGCAGACATCATCCTGAGGTCTTCCCACAAGGGTGCTCAAAATCCCCGCCAACCCCAAAACGAGCGTACATGAGATCTGCAGCCTTGGCTTTGCGCCGGGCCCTGGAGCTCCTTGTTCGGCTCTGGCCGCTGCTGTACAGGGCAGACACCCATGGCTGGTAGGCACCCTCCCAGACGCTGCCCATGCCGCCACGGCCCTCACCTTGGTCCTGGACGTTCTCCTCCAGGAGGGTCTTGGGGTCGTTCAGCACCCTCTCAGAAGCAGCGTGCACCAGCTTGTGATGGCTGAGGCTCTTGGGGTCTTCCAAGCTCCCGTGAGCACACTGCGGGGGAAAACAGGCTTCAGAACACGGAAGAGGGGCTCCTGATGCTAACGGTGGGTCAGCACCCCAAGCCACACCAGCGACCCCTGCTTTCCACTAGCTAAGAAACGAGAATGCAGACGAGACCAGAGCATACCCAGCGACGGTGGGACCCAAACGCGACACCCCTCGCCTGATCCCCTGGGCCAGCACGATCCCCAACCCGCTATGTGCTCCTGAATGGGCTCGCTGCCTTGCCTGGCGTCACTTCCCGAGGGTGGCAGCCTGACTTGCTTAGTCTGGAAGGACCTGGAAAGCAGTTTTAGATAAAAACAGCAGGTGCGGTTCCTGACACCCAGGGACCACCCAGGGACGCACGCGTCTCATGCCTGGTTTTCTCTCGCCGGATGGGGGCACGGCCGTCTGCAGGATGCAGGCAGTCGGGGTATGTCTGTGGGCCCACAGGCCCGGGAGAGCCCTGGCACCTCTGCCCTCACTAGGTGACAGCCACATGAGAAGCCGTGCGGGGGCCCCTGCAGGGTGGACGGGCACAGTGGCGTGAGTTGCCAGGGGAAGGGCAGAAATGAGCACTCCTCACACATGGGGCAGACAGCACGCACCACAGCCACCGGAGGGACCCAGGTGACCTGGGAACCTGTCCCCCACCCATGGCAACAGCTCCCAAACCCTAGAGGGCTCCCGGCAGATGCCCTGAGGTACTGCATCCGAAGGCCACACAGCGCATTCCTGGGACCCTGCAGACATGGCTCCTCCTGCAACCAAGGCTGTGCCCCCGCACTCCGGGACACCCTCCGGGGACCACGCAGGCCCCGCTGCCCTCCAACCCGGGCTGGCTGACTGCCCGTGCGCTCGCCGCTCTGTGGAGGGCAAACGCACGTCCGTGTGATGGTTGAGGTGCTGAATGATGCCCGTGTCCCCACGCGCTCGCCGACGCATCCAGAGCACCATGTGCACCACACTTCCTGCCAGACAGGCGCGATAATCCACCTGGCCCCCACAAACCAGAACCCAGGTGGCGAGCAGAATCCAGAGCTCAGAGCTCGGATGGGTGCAGTGCTTGGTCCTGCTGAGTCCGAGGTGAGACCGTGGACTCCACAGGACCAGAACAAAAGACGCTGAGTGTGCTCCCAATGCCTGGCCACAGTGGCCCACAGGTTGCAAGCCTGGCCTGGCCTGGCCCACCCAGGACACCCTGCCTCGGACATCGCAGGAGCCTGGGCTCAGAACCCCCCGGAGGCTTGCCCACCCTCCACACAGGGGTGTGCAGATCCCCAGCCGCCACGCCGTCTCTCAGGAAAGGAGAAAAGCTGAAGCCTGGGCCCCTGCCCAGCACTGGCAGGTGACGGGTAAGCGGAGACCCCCAACTCCCCCTCTGCTCCACGACGGCTCCGCTCCCGACACTGGGCACTCTCTTTTGCCGTTCTGGACGTGCCGCCGACCTGCCTGGACCAGGACACGGCACCTGGAGTGATTTTCTACAACAATCCTGGTTCTGGTTGCCACACACACTACACTCGGTGAGGTCAGCAGCAGGCCAGGAGTGGACGCAGCGTGTGCTGTCCACACGGCACGCAGCCACTTCCTTCAGGGCCTCCACTCTCAGCAGGTGACAAAGTCCGAAGCAAGGCCATGACAGGGCAGGAAGGCTCCCACACCCTAGTGCACCCCACTCCTCCCACCTGGGGCCATGGGACTGTCCCCACTCTGGGCCGAAGTGTTACTGTCACCTGTGGGCACACGGCCACATGGTCCGGGCGACCTCAGCAGCACCTTGGCAGGCACTGCTTTCCTTCCGGCAACCTCATGGACTAGCACGCAGCCCCCCACCCGGCCAAGTGACTGCGGGCCTTTGCCCGCCAGCTGCGCAGGGCACTGTACCCCACCCCGTCTGTCAGAGGCAACAGAAGCCCGAGGTCACCACCAGGGCACACGCTGTTTGGATGCCACAGGAAAGGGCAGGCCACAAGGCGTCCCCTTCCTTAAGAGTTGGGACGCTGACATGCCGATGAGCCCTAGCCAGCCCCCAGTGCTCCTGAGGTTTGTCGTAGGCCCCGGGGTCCCAGGCCTCCCCTCGTGGCCCCATCGTGGAAACACGTTTGCCAGTTCACGCTGACAGCGAGCTGAACCGGGTGCCGGGCCAGTGGAAGTGGCTGGGGCGGAAGCTGGGGTGGACAGGTGCGTCCACCACGCCGGTGCGCGCTTTGGTGCCACGCCCGGCCTGGCCGTGCTGGGCCAGCCTTGGACGCCGGGTGGAAAGCACACCCTCAAAGAGCTTCGTCTCGGACAGGGGAGGAAACGGACCCCAGGAAGGCTGCTACACACATGCGTGCACACGCGCGCTTCACACGCAACACTGGCTCTGCCGGGATGCCGCAGTGCGCCCTCAGGTCTTGGCGGCTTTCAGAGCTCAGAGCTGCCCGGCTGGCCCCGAGGTAGCGCCATTGCACGAGGGTGCCCGGAGCCTCCCCGACCTGACCTGGGAGGTCGAGACCTCACCGTAGCTCACATCTGCGTGTCCCAGCTGGCGTCGACCCTGTCCTCGAGCCAGGGGTGGCCGCATGCACCCTATAGCTGCAGAGCCCCCCAAAGAACACCCAGGATGGTGACTACAAAGCGGCCAGTCCCTGTAACCGCACCTGGGCACCGACACGTCGCTGCAGAACACCGACAGCCCGTCACACTTCTCACATGTGACTTGTCGCACTGAATGCCATGGCCTCCTCTAACCAGGCCTGGCAAGGAACCCGCGGTCGTGTGCAGTGTCGAGTTTCCCCAGGCCGCCAAGCCCCAGCTGCCTGAGTCAAGAGCAGACACCGAGAACCGAGAACCAGTTCCAAGGCGTCGCGCCCAGCAAGCTTTCAACACGCTCTTGGTGCGCCCTCCTGGGCCTTCCCACCGAGGGGTTCTGCCTCCCAGAGCCAGGGTCCGGGGCCCAGGCTGGCTGAGCGCCCAAGAGGGGAACCGGAGGGTCTCCTGCCCGACGGATCTACCCGACTCCTGGGGAGCTGCTGGAAAACCACCCCACCGCGTAGGTCCCCAGTGGCCGGGAAGGCGGTGGGGTCAGGGAGGAGGCGGCCGGGAGGGCGGCCTGGGGCGGCAGGGCGGCAGGGCGGCGGGAGGGCGAGGGCGGC